GAGAAAGGACAAATTGAAATCGCATCATATGACCCCTTTCAAGGGTTTATCAGGACCAGACAGACATCAGTCTTACTGTTCATTTTGTCAGCACGGTTAACTGAACAAAGTATCTTTACCTATACAAATAAAATAAGCAATTTAATTATGATAATTCTTGCACATATAGCATATTGTTTTTGATTACATAATAGTGATTTGTAACTGATAACTGAACAATGAAGTTCAATCTATTTTTAGTTCAAACACTATCCAGGAGACGTGCGGCATGAATGTGCTACCATAGTAATGTTGAAGAACCAGATCCACTTTGTTGTACTTCACCAGTGGGTCTCAACTAGTTTCGTGGCAAGGCCCAAACTTAACATTGAACATGTGGTGACCCAAAACAGCACAAATTACTACTGAAATAAGCCTCTTATGCTCACCAGGGCTGCATTTATTTGATTAAAAATACAGTAAAAACAGCAATAATGTGAAATATTATTGCAGTTTAAAATAACTTTTTATTTTAATGTATTTTCATTTATTGTAATTTATTTATGTGATTGATATTTCAGCCTTCAATGTCACATGATCCTTCTAATCATTCTAATATGCTCAATTTCTCATTAATAATGTTTAAAAAAAGTTGATATTTTTTGTGGCAACTGTGATAAATTTTTTCAGGATTCTTTGATGAATAGAAATTTCAAAAGAACAGCATTTATTTCAAATAGAAATGCTTTGTAACAATGTAAAAGACTTAACTGTCGCTTTTGATCAGATCAGTTTAATTAATCTTTGCTGAATAAATTTTTTTTTTTTATAATTCACGTATGTATCTGAATAAAACTATTTGAAAATACTGTAAAATATTTGTTCAAAAATAAACAATTTTTTAAATCAAACATTGCCGTTTATCATACAAGCTAAATGGGAAAATTTGACCATTTGAAATGCAAACAACTGCAAAATTGTAATTTATCAGCCTAACACGTGGAACAAAAACTGAGCCAAATATTGTATTTCTTTGAGCATTAAGCCTTAACCACGCTGACAACTGACATATTTGCACCAAAATACACCGGCATTAGATTGATATGCACGACTGTATAGTTAGTTACATTTTATTTTTTCTTTGCTGTCCATGACCTTTTCAGAACATTTTTGTGTAATGACCCACTAGATGTGAACCAGTGCCCTAGACTAAATATTTGTAAGCAATCTTATGATATTATTTATATTTTTATATCTTTACATATGTACACATATTTTATATATCACTCACTTAGGGTCCAGAGAAAGTCTGTTTTCAAACATCCACAGAGGAATATAAGTTTTATACAGCATGATGTATTAGATCATTAGTGTAATATTTGCAAAACGTGTACTACAGACAATGACTAAACATTTAGTCATAGCCTTTGATCGGGGGGAAAAATACCTAATAACTAAATGTAAGGTGTAGCTTTGTTTTGATATTTGCTTGCATTGGTATTCTCATTAGTTTTAACCTGCTCTCAGCACAAAGACATTATTGTGTGCTCATTGGGTGGTTATTAATTAACCCTAACTAGAGACTGACGAACAGGCCACTAGGCAAACCTAACTAAAAGATCCATAAAAGTGCATGTCACAACTACAGATGAGATCACGTAGGATTTATGAATTCTGTTTTACGACATTGTAAAATTTATCCTCTTTATTCATTAACAGCAAAGAAACAATGACAGGTTCTGATAGGTTGTTGGTCTGACCACTTCCTATATAAGAGGAGAAAGAAAGAGGAAAAAGGCAGAGATTGCGGTGACAACAACCGAAAAACATACTACAACTAAACCCTTCTCGAGAAGAACCAGCCAGCATGAAGAACATTTTGTCTGTCGCTTTCCTCAGTGTGGCTCTTTGCCTGGTCTCTGAGGCTGTGCAAGTCCAGGTAAGCTCAAGCTTTTATTGCTGTCATTACTGCATCTCTGAAATTAAAAAACCTCTTACTAGTTTAAGTTAACCTTATGAACACTCTATTCCATGATTTATGGATGTAATCTCCTCAGAATTGCATCAATTTGCATCTGACTTCATTCTGAAACGTGTATATTGTTGCATTTGTGGCTCAAAGGTGCATTCAATAAAGGCATGCGTCGTTTGAGCTATTTATAAAGAATCATTCATCCATAGGTTATTAAGTTTAAATCCAGCGGTCAGTGCTGACGCATTGTTCAATCATTGCATTGAGAATTGAACTCATCCATTTATTTCTACAATTTCCCTCCTGTAGGAAGGTGATTTTTCCTTTTCACTGGACTCTGTAAAAGTTCTCCAGCAATTAATCGACCAGCCACGAACACAAAACCCTCGTTTGACCAAGATGAGCTACTTTTCTGTATGTTCCAATCCAACGCTGCCACAGGAGTTTGTGCCTCTGTGCATGCAGAGAGGAGCAACTATGTCCTTTGCTAGGCTAGGTAATAGTCCTGGTTTACTTTTAAATTCATGTTCAATAATTGTACACAATGTACTATTAATAAATTACATTTTGTTGCTTGATAAATCCCAATCTAACCTGAGATACTGTTATGTTTGTTTCAGCATCTGTGCCTGTGGACATCTGTGAAATATGTGCTTTTGCGGCTTGTACCGGTTGCTAATTCCTTCCATCATCCCCTCGCTTGATCATCATCACCTTCACTTAATAAAATCCACATATTTTCATTTACTGCCATAGGTTCTCACAATTGACCGTGCGAACATTGCGAATGTTGCCTGAATGGCAGAACACTGTTTATGAACTGTTACTTAAACTTCCTTCCCCTCTTTTCTTTCCCATGTTTTGTTTTGTTACAGCACATATTTCATTTATTTAAGAAAGAAGTGTCTTTTTTATTTTTCTATTTCTGAGTTTTGCTATGCGTGGTAATGCCTCAGTGTTCAATAAAAAAAATGCCTTAAATCTGTTCTCTGTGCATCGTGTATTATATTTATTGTTGAAAGAAATTGATTGATGTCGCAAAAATGTTATTCAATTTTACAGCCAAAATTAGGCAATCAGTTCATTTGTAATGAATGAAGATGTCAGGATGTCTGAGTGCAAACCATTTCATGTCATACTTTTTTGATTGACATAGGGGGAGCAGACTACCTGATGTTTATATTCAGTCAATTTGAAAGAAACATACACCATGAGTTCTTAATGAGGTTCGGTGGGCTGTTATTCATAAAAGATTTATTGAATGTTGAGTGACAGGAATATTAAGTGGGAAGACTGTATTTACTGATATATGTCTTCAGGAAACTACTTGACTGCTCATTTAAATATAAATTTTTTTCATTACCTGCTCGAAATGAAATCTTTCAGGTATGAATGTGCGTTTTTGTGTGAGTCTGAACAGTATGTGTGTATGGTGAAACCGTTCTGCTGATTGCATATAGACAGCACATCAGTACATCACCCCAACATAACATATTCCTGATCATTTGTTGTCCAGATGAGAATCCAAACCTTTTTGGAGCACAACATTTGTATATAAAACAGCCACCTTGATTGCTGCCTTGTGCTTTGAGTAAAAATTGATTAGGTACAATGTTCTTTTTGCGTACTGTTCTGCGTTTGCTTGTAAGCTCTAGAACAAAATAAGCAGGCTGCTGATGGAATTGTAATTTACCTGTTTTGAAAGCTTCAGTGAGATGGTGAACAACAGAATGGAGAGTACACCATTTCTTTCGCTTTGAAGGTTTTGGTCATTAGGGAGACCAACCAGCCTTGAATAAATGGTTATTTTTGATTTTTAGGTGACAGTATTGAAATCTTCAAAAGAAGAAGACATATGAGTGTTATCTGAAGCATCTTGCATCTTGGATGTTTGGGTTTTTTAAATGTTGTTTTAAAGTCTCTTATGCTCAGCAAGGCTGCATTTATTTGAAAAATAAACTACAGTTAAAAAAAAAACGATTATTAACAGTTTTAAATATATTTTAAAATGTCATTTATTCCTAAATTTTCAGCAGCCATTACATTGCTGGACGTACAGTAGAAATGTAGAGCCAGATTCTATTGTGTCTGGAGCAACAGCTGTCTGGAGTTCATCGCACATCAAATCCCATATTGTCTGCAAAGCTACGGTTAGGAGTGGCAAAATGCATTGATGCAAATTTTCCAGTCTTTTTGTATTTAGTAGGTTTTATTGCACAGCTGCGATTGCTCAGTGGACTGACGCAAGTACAGTATCCTGTTGTGTCACTGCCCAGTTTTCTTAGGATTACTCTGATGCATTGTGTTTTATCGCCATGCATTATTAGATACAGACAAGCTCACTTCTCAAACATACTTATGACTGCAAACACAGTATGATTAAAATAATTTATTTTAATCGTAAGTCTTTATTGTCTTAAATGCTTAAATGTATGCATAGCATGCAGCACTGACTGGAAGTTCAGCTTACGTTACATTATGTTCAGTTTTGGCGAGTAAACTAGATGTTGCTATGGACGACAAAGAATATTAGGTTACGCCTGACCAATGAATGCAGTGATGGAGGCCAATGCACTACTTTTCCATTGTTTTTCTATAGGTGCATCCCAATTTGCATACTTATGTACTATCCTATGCGGTTTTGTAGTATAAATAGTGCAAGTAGTGTGTTCACACTGAAAATTTCAAAAAGAAAAACTGCATTTTAAATACCTGGATGATGCACTCAATTAAGCGGGGGAAAAAATGAAGTGTGAAATGTTGGACAGCTTTAATTACGAAGGGGAGGGGCTATCAGACTCCGATACTGAATGACAAAATAACCTTATAAAACTACACGGTTGAGTACAGTGCATAAGTACATAGTGTACAAGTGCATAGTGTATAGTGCGTCATTTGAGGGCCACATCTGAGGGCCAGAACCCACCAGAGTTTTGTTCAAATCCTGCTCCAAGACACATACCCTGAAGTATTCAAATAAGTCTGAAGGACTTGATTAGTTGGATCAGGTGTGTTTAATTAGGGTTGAATCTACACTTTGCAGGGCTCCGGCCCTCCAGGAATTGAGTGTGACAGCCCTGTGCTAGACGGATGCGTTTGTCTGTTTGCGCTCACATCTTTTGCAGTGTCTTGCGCATTGTAAAAACGCAGCATGAATTTAAAACAAGTTTGACTTTAAAAAAACAAATTGCACTGCCCATTTTTCAAAGCAAAAACATGTTCTGTGTGAATGGCCCCAAATGAAAAAAAAAAAAAGACGCAGGGTCTCGAGACAGGTTTTTTATTGTAAGAACGCCACCATTTTATGACAGCGTGTCATGCGAGACATGATAAATATTGCTTTTCTCGATACTTCAATATTTGAATTCAATATGGTAACAATCATATGCTAGTACATGGTTCTGAATTCAGTACTTGTTTCTTTTTTCTATCTCCTGCGTTTTATAAAGCAAGGTAATTAATAATTGAATTATTATTTTTTATAATTATTACAATAACTTTAGAATAAATATTTATTAATAATTCTAATATCAATTACAAACGATAATATTTTTCTAAAATCTGCTATTAATCACTGTTATATATAAATTTCATTTTTTTTCAGTTTAATTGGTATCTAGTGTAAATTGATCTGTTCAAATGTTGTTTAATGTTGTTACCCTAAATGAGTTAATTTTTGTGCCAGCTAAATACTGCTCTGATTGCAATTAAAATACAATTTTCAATAGCACCAAATTCGACTATTTGTTTGGCTATTTGTTAGTAGCTATAGCTCACTACTTCTTCTCACTATTTCTTCTAGCTCAGTACTTCTTACTACTTCTATTTTAAGTTATGAAAAGCATGTTTTTGACACACTACAATTTCAAAGTAGCTTCTTCAACACTGTGTTTATTTCTCGATAAAAAATCAGGACACTGATTCAGACTTGCTACCGAACTGATATCAATTTGCACAAGCACTACTATTAAACCCTGACAGCCCTGCAATTTATAGAGAGATGGCCTTGTGTACAATCTAATTCCTAAATCCCAGTTTGCAAGCCAGCCAGCTGACATCTATGTCCTGTATGTGCTCGTAAAGGATGGATTTATGAGATTACCTGGTCCACTGTTTGTCACGTACTGACAGGCCTGCATATGATTCATATAGAGAAAACACGTACATCCTCTTTTGTTATCAAAGAGGAGGTCGAAATGTAAACGACAGGCTGTATTCGACCACCAGGTCTTAATAGGTTACTTAGTAACTCAATAATCACACTTTATATAGCTTGACCTGATGTACATCTGAATTGACTCAATGCAATCTCTGTCCATGCAGAGCCACTCTTCTGAGACTGTCCATCTGAGGTTGAAAATGAGAGCGCTGATAATCGTCCTCCTCCTGACCACAAGCTTCTTTCAAATCTCACAATGTGTGCAGGTTACGGTAAGTCAGAATTGGCCTGTTCTCACAAACCGCTCTCACTTTGTGAGGCTGAATTGAATTGGGAGTTTGTTTGGGGAAAGATATTACTAGCTTGATTGTGGAACTGCAATCTCAAAGCGTTTCTGTATTTGATAAATATAGGTGTCTTGTGGGAGTATATATTGAACCTTCATTTATAATAACTAAATCTGGATTTTCCTTCTATGTAACAGATAACATTAGGGCAACTTTCAAATTGTGACAAAATACTGACACAATACTACGCTGAAAAAAAAATTGAAGAAACAATTTTCATTCAGAAATTGCTGGTTATTTTACAAAGAAATGACAAGTAACACACTGAATTAAACAAAGTTCAAATAAGATTTTTTTGTAAAACATACTCCAATGATCTTTGGTTTATTTAAAACGTCAAAGAATCCTTTTTCAGTTTTTACATTGTCATATCCTTCATAATATTCACATTGTGTGTGAACAGGTGAATCTGACAAAAATCTGACAAAATTCTATTTTGCATAAAGAAAATTACTTTTTTTTTTAGACTATTATGATTGGAATTTATGGTAACACTTTAGGTTAGGGACCAGTTCTCACTATAAGTTGTTTATTAGCATGCATTGTACTAGCATATTGGCTGTTTATTAGTACTTATAAAGCACATATTGTAGAATTTTTCTTCTTAAATCAAGTCTTTTAAATATTTATGCTTGCAAGAAGGTCTGACAATACAGCAGTGAGCTCCGCTATATGTGTGACAAAAATAAGTGAGCATGCTTCTCTACTTTTATACCCTTTGGCCCATTGTTTTCCAATGGTTGTCTCCCTAATACTATAAATAGCTAAGAAAGCGTGATAAACACTTGGTATGTCTCATTCCTCATGTAGTGTCTAACCCAAAATTCAAGATGGTATCCTGTTCTTCCTAAGCATGCAAGAACAAGCAGGTCATCGTGACATCTCCTCATATTCAGAGAGAAGCAAGATCTCACACGTGAACACTCATATTGCATGTTTTGGTTGGAAAAGACCCAGATACATTCTTGAAAGATTTGTTAGATTTATCTTAGCATATAAATAAGGTGACTAAGACAACATCAATATTACTTTTTCAATGTTCAGCATACATTTAGAAGATTTCTCTGTGGATATCAATTGAACTTGACATTGATGGAAAATTATTTGATGTTCCTCTTTTTAACTATTTATGAATGGCTGGATTTTGGTTCGGTGTATAATTCAGATTCAGACTTTCAATATCAATCAATGTAAATGGTGGCTAATGCTCTTCACTCTCAGTACCTCCCTTTAAAAGAGACCCTGGCTATCTGCAAGGTAATCATTTTAGGTGGTCTGTATCCAAATATCTTTCAGTTTAATTGTGTAGTTAAAAAAAAGTATCTCCTTTTATGACTGGTTTATGGCAGACTCATGTGGGAAAAAT